TTAGTAGCTTTCATACCGAGTGAGGTGGACAATTGACATCAATGTGGCGTTTTGGTGTTTGCGCATGATGATTTGGTAGACCTACATGAAGCAGAAAAATTATGAAGCATTTATATATTTTAAAATTTTGCTGTACATTTGATATGTCTAGTTATCCTTCTCTATGTGAGACTCCTCTCAGTTTTGTAATGCTTGTTTCCTTTTGCCTTCATGCAGAAAGCTGTTCATAAGATTACATTTAGTCCTAATTACATTAATTTCATTTAAAGCAAATGCAAATATGACAAGTACTGCAGTTACTTGCTTAGTCATAAAATGCTGAAAACCAGTTGTCATAAGAAATCTGTCATCATTTCAGATGTTCAAAGGAAAGCCGATGGCATGAGATGCAATTACTTATATCTACAATGGTGTAATTCACTCTGTTGTTTCAGCTTCTGATAAATCAGCATAATGACCTTTGGACAATAGCAAGAGATTATAGTAAGTCTCTAAAGCAAAATTTAAGGTAAATTGTTGGTTTGTTGCACAAACATTTATTGCGTTCTTTGGGAAGAAACAGACTGAGTTCCGGGAGAGAGAATGGTGGCTGCAATCTTCCACCACCTGCATTTACTTTGAAGCTATTAAAAGTCAAAGTATTCTTGACTCTGTGTTTGGCTTTTGGATATTTAAGATAGCAAGTCTTCAGAGAGACGCAGATGTCAGGATTGTAGTATATTTTATTAAGTGCTTTCCACATCGTCTGAATCATGTTGGTAGCTTCTGCTAGCCCCTTCAAGGAAGGCAAGTGGATTTTTCATTTCTAATTCACTTTTATTTCACTTTTCCTACCACTTCTCCTTTCCTCTGTATTATGAGGCAGAGAAAGTGTACTGAGTTAAGAAGCATAGTTCAAATCTTAACTGTTTTATCTCTTTGCACTGAAGTCTGATATTTATAATACCCTCAATTTATTTACAACACTGTGTGAATTACTTTAGGCAAGGTTAATAATTTATCATTTAATAATAGAATAATTTATAGGTTCTTAATATTATAATTTATAGGCCCAAGCCTGTAAGTGGAATGTCTAACCTCTTTGACAATAATCTTTCTAAGATGGAAGGGGACACACAAACTTTTCTGTTGACTTTTTAACTAGGTGGTAGACTGCACTCACCTGTGAGATACTGAAAGAAACTACAGTTTCTCGTCTACAATGATACGATGTTGAGTTACCAATCTCTTCAGTGCAGTGTCAAAAGTGTGAGTTAAGTCCTCTATGGGTGAACCCATTGTAGATTAATGTTTTAGTTGAAACATGAATGTCTGTTATGGGATGCAGAAGTCCAAGAGAACAGTAACGGGTAGTATTGTACACAGTTGCCTAGTAGCATGAATTCAGTGAGAGCAAACTAAGATTCCTCTTACAAACAAAACTTTTTCCCATATTGTGTGCGATGTGCTTTCATGTACCCAACTACACATCTATTCCCAGGCATTTCACATCTAGTGAGTGATAGAATTTTGCCTTAATGCACTCTTAAAATACAGAATGGACACACCAGTTTGTGCTATGTGAAACAAACACTAGCTTAAGTTGTACCACTGCCCTTTGTACACTAGAAGGCTTGGGAAAGGTGGTGCCTCTGACCCTTTGGCAACTGCAGATCTCCCTGGTGTTGTGTTCCCTGCCGTGCCAAAAGCTGTACCTTTGCCTATTCTGTGTTTGCGTTCTTCCAGGAGACTGGAACTGATGGTTAGCTAAAATAACTCTCAGGCTCGTGTTCTTACCTCAGCTGCCTTTGGTGGGTGGTATATCAGGGTATGGCTGTTTGCTTAGAAAATTTCAGGAGCACGTCCAAGATTATCAGCTTTAGTGAGATTTAATGTTCGTTTTGTGGAAGTTAAAAATGCTAAAGCTTCCTGGTCCAATACTGCTGAGAGAACTAAACTGTGCTTCAGGACTAAGTGAGATGTGAATATAAAGATAAGAGAGATCCTATATAAAAGTGATTAATCCAGTATTTGTTGTTAAGGACAGTAATTCTATTTTAAAGTTACAGCTGAGCACAAAGTTTTGCATCTCTATTTAATATTGTCCCTGCTCAATAAACCTTTTGAGTATGTGTTGGAATCTGAAGCATGTGCTTAACTGCTGTGCTGAATTGAGGCCTTCATTACCAAATTGCAGGTGTAGGTTAGCTTAAGTATTTAAGGTAAAAAAAAAAACCAAAACAATGCTTATTTTGTTCTGTTCAGTGTCATTTCTTACATTAATGGAAAACATCAGCAATGCTGTGCTGTTGCTATGCTGTCCAAAACAGATTTAATATAGTTAATGGCTTGAGTGTTCAGTATGAGATAGGGTCCAGTTAAGAATTAACATGGAGTGATGAAATGAAAATTTTGAAAATGAAAGTGAGAATCTACTTTTTTGTGCATAATATTATTGTAGAATGAGGCTTTTAAATGTTTGCCTGTTTAAAAGTGTATTTCAGTGATACTTTATAAATTCATCTGTGGATGTTAGAGCATTTGTTATGTATGTGCAATAGCTGAGGCTCTATAAATATTTCCATAATAAAGTTCTCTGTATACTAGGGCTTAATAACTTGGTCATAAAAACGTGTTTTGGGCATAGAAGTGGCGTACTGGTCTGAAGTAAAAAATAAGATTATTTAAAGAGAGAGCCTTAGAAGGAAACTGAAGAAAAAGTATGCTGTACCTAATGTTCCTGATAAATGTTCGTCGAATATGTTCTTTAATAAATTAAAAAAAAAACCACTTAACAAACTTGTTCATTGCAGAGCTTATCTTTCTACTGTTCTTAAATGCCTAACTTTTCTTTTAAGTCTATCAGTAGATAAAATGTTCATACATGTAATGTAGAAAATGTGTTAGTTCTCCGTTTTCAGTTATACCTCCTAGGTTTGAAAACTTGCCTGGATTCTTTAGATTTCTTTTTGCTAAATTTAAGTGAACAAAGGGGTTTGAATGTTTCTTCATTAAATATAGTTTCTCAGTCTCCGATAATTGCAGTTATTTCCTTTGAGAGTGTCTCCTGTTAATCTACACATAGAGTCGTGTCCAGAGGTGACGCATTGTTCCCAGGCCTTTGAAGAAAGCAGGAGGGTTATCCTTCTCTATATTCTGGGGCTATTCAATCTTTGATGTTAAGTATCTATACAGTGGCTACTGTATAGAGGCTATTAAACAGAGTACTATTTGACAGTTTCTTAATTGTTTCTTTTGCTGACTCACTTGGGAAGACAGAAGTGTTGGAATAAACAGAAGAATGAAAGTTGTTTAGAAAGGAAATTAATACTTTTTTTTTAGCACACCTGTTTGATACAAATCTGTACAACATTGTCTTGTATTAGTTTTGGTATGCAGACCTGTAAAATATGTTTTTCTGTAAGATAGGATACCTGAAAAAGGCCTGTAGTCTGTTAACAGTGAAATAATTATTTAACTATAAAACCTGCCTTGGCTTCAATGACGTTTCGTTGAAAAGCAGGGTGACTGAGAGCTATTGATTCATACTTATTTTCGTATGAAAATTTTCAAAATAGAGACTTGTTTTATTTTCCTGATACTTTATTACATCTGGAATTGGAGAAATAAGCTGAGGGATTGTCTGTATTTTACCTGAAGCAGAACCACTGGTGCAGATGTGCTTTCCCTGCAAAAAGTGAACTGGTACTGTGTAAAACACATCAGTGTCATAGGGTTTGCATTGCTGTGGTACAACCTGTGCAATTTCAGTAGTCCCAAACACCTTTGGCATGCTGAAGTCCTTTGTTGCCTGTTAGAAATGTGGGCCTGTAATGTGCTATAGGAGTTGCACACTAGAGGGCTTATTTCTTTTCTCCACCAACGCAAAATTAGCTACACTGTGCTAAATGAGACCACCAGATCTTTGCTTGTCTTTGTGAGACATTGTCTTGTTTAAAATGTTGGACTATGATGAGAAATGGGAGAGAAAAGCAATGAAATAAGGTACATTCTGTCTTACTATAAATGTTGTGAAGTCTTTATTTTTACTTGGCAATGCTGTGGAGGAGCTGAGAAGTGCTTGCTTCTCAGTGATGTCTCTTCTGACCAAGGCAAACGTCAGAGCTCTACATTCAATAGGTGTTTGCTTGCATATTTGACAGCTTTGAAATATTGTAGGAAAAGTTCTATTTGATACTATATTTTTGACCTTTACATATGTATCTATATTAATATAATTTGCAGATAATCAGGACATTTGGGCTATGGTCTGGGCTAATATATACATTTATTTTTTACTAGATTAGAGTTTCACCAGTTGGGTTTCATGTAATACTGACAATGTCTGTGGCATTTTACAGTAAAGTTCAAAATGAGTATTTTATTGTGAAAGACTCAGACATTTTAGTAGGTATAAATCTTCATACATTCATTCAAGGTTTGACCTTGAGTGGATACATAGGCATGAGGGCAGATATTCTGCTGTTTTCTTTTTGTCCTTGCTGGAAATAAACTGAAATCCCTCAGTGACATTTCCCATAGCAAAGTGTGTGAAATCAGATGAGGGATATAATCCCTTGAAAATAAGGGTAAGAGAAAAACAGAGTTGAAAAACAGCCTAGTAGTGGGAGCAATATTTGCATATGCTTTTTTAGCTATTGTAAATTACGGCTTAATTTCTAGGTAAGTGGAGTGAGTCTGAAGAAATAAAATTCCTTGAATGCCTCTTTCTCTGACATGTTGTATTATCAAGAAATAGAAAGGAATTAGCTTCCAGCAAAGAAGTAGTTGAGTGAAATCTGAAAAAAAATTACATATATTTTTTTTAAGCTTTCCTACTTGTTCTTCATTCATTGCCTAGTCATCCTTACAATGCTGAATATCTCAGACGTGTTCTGCACATGACAGCCAACCTGTTTGTATTTACTAGGCATAAAATGTTGCCATTGTATTATCTACAACTGTTCCACAAGCATTGGAAAGATAACCAAGTAATTTCTATTTTTCTCTTGTTTTCAAAGGGATGGCTTCAGAGATGGCTTCAGAAGAAAAAGCTTCTATCCCTCTCATTACATGAGAGAGCGATCTCCTCATATTAAGAGAGACTCTCCTTTCTTCAGGGAATCACCAGGGAGCCGGAGGGATTCTCCGCACAGCAGATCTGGCTCTAGTGTCAGCAGCAGGAGCTACTCTCCTGAAAGAAGCAAAGCTTATCCTTACCACCAGTCCCAGCATAGCAGAAGTACGTCATCTTTACATAAAAGAAATATGTCTTCTCAGCAAGGTAATGCTGGAGTAATGATGAGAACTGGTTAGCGAGGTGAAACTGCTGCTTGCTCTGTAAGATCTATAATGAGAAAAGTAGACATTTTGTACCAGTGATGTGTTGTCTGCTCTTTGCTGTTTCACTGCACTCTCTGTTCCATTGTGTACTTCACATGGGAGATTGTAGGTGGTGTTTCAGTAGCAGCTCTAGACTGTAGGAGTTTCGGCTGCACCACTTTTTCTGGTAATGGTGTGTTACTTATCAGCTGCTTCTGTTACTTCTTTATGTGCTTCATTGGATCCCTTACAAGAAACTTGGCTGTCATCTATAGAAGATGAAGATTTTTGTTCCTGTAATTCCTGCAAGGGATTAAAAAAAAGCTGGAGAAATTAAAGTACATTCTGTTACATTTTCTGGAAATGTTCTTAGAGCTGGACTGTTAGGGTTTTGAAGGTGGTTCATTTTTAGCAGTTTCATTTCAGCATCAGATTTTCTCAGATCTTCCTTTCCTCAAATGTGAAGGCTATCTCAGTTAAGAGAACATACTGTGTATGTTCTGCCTTTCTAAAGCTTGACTGTTAATCTTTCCTAGAAATCTAATGAATCTTCTGTTTTGAAAATATTTAAGGTTTTCCTAGTTAAATAATTTGGGGGAAATAAAGGCAAAATTGCCTTTTTTTTTTTTTTTAAATATACTACAGTCTTAGCCACTGCTGATTGTACAATTTATGTAAATTAATCCAGTTTGATTTTCCTTTCTGCAAATGCTTTCTAGTGAACTACACAAACCTACTACTCGTTCTGGCAGCTTTTAAAAAGTTAATTAGTTGTGGGGGTTTTTTTATTCACTGATAAGCATATTGTGTGTTTCCAGAGTGGAATATTGGGCCATAATGTAGTACTTCTTGCCAAAAAAGACCTTGTGGAATTTAGGTAATGTTGTTTAGATACTGAAGAATCATTTAACTCCTTGTAGAATACATATTATCTTTCTAGCTCATGGTTACAATTATTTTAACATTTTTAGCAATACTTAGTGAACATGAATTCCTTTAACTGTAGGAGAGCAAGAGAAAAATATGATCTTCAACTGAACTTGTGGAAGTGTTTTGGGTGTGCAGATCGTAATTCTGAGGAACTCGAAAAAAATATTGTGAGAAACCATATAAAATTTTTGAATGTTTCCAGTTTTGTAAAAAATTTTTTGATCTGACTTCTGTCATGTTTGTAGCATATTGACAGAATTACTCAAACAGTAGTGGAGGTAGTGAAGGAGAAGCAGACATCTTTACAGATCAGAAAAGATGCTGGTCAAGAGGTGGTTACATTTAGGTCTATGGCTTTTGGGATATTTTTTCCAATTTTGTGGTTAAACCCCTCTCCCCATCATCTTTAATTCAGTTTTAAATGGTTTATACAGTGGACTATTTCTTTGTAATTGCCTGTTCCCTGGGAAGTAGTACTTCTAATCTGTTCCTCTAGATGACTGAATTAAAATGGCCTAGTCACAGGGTATAAATGGCTTAAATAATACTTTTAGAATAGTTTTTGAATACGATTTGTCTTAGGTAAGCTCATGTATTGCATATTAAAAAGGAACATGAAGCAGGACGTATGTCAGCAGTACGTTCTAGTCTGCACTTAAATGCATTTACAACGTGAAGTATTTAATGCAAAAGTTATAATACAGCATCTTTTTAAATATCATAATATTGTTTAAAATCATACTGTCTGAATCAATTTGGTCTGATGACTCTCACTGAAGAAGGAATATCCCATGTTCTCCAGCCCTTCATAAATGAGGATAAATACACTATTTGAACTAAGAAAACTGGGGGGACATAAAGAAGCTCGGTAGAGGGAGGGAAGGAGCTGATGGGAAAGGGCTGGCATTCCAGTGGTGATGGTGGAGCATGGACAGAAGCAGGGTGGCATTCCTTCACTGGGCCAGTCAGGAAGGGGCCTGTTGGGTGGTATACTGATGAGAAGGAAGACAGCATGTAGTGGTGCTTGGAAAGTGTTGTGCTCAATTGTACAGGTAGGGCTTGTGGGTTCAAAACAGCCATATGCAATCAGAAAAAAATGGCCTAATTATGTCTCCAAGTTAAATGGTGGTTTCTTTCTCTGCTTAACTTGGAATAATTTACTACCACTTGTATCAGCTTATTTCATCTATTCAAGTGCAAACATACAATCCACTCAACTGAGATAATCTTTAAAGAATCCATTAGGATGTAGGAGGCTGAGTTAGAGTAGTCTGTAGATGGAAAAGGAGGTGGCTTACTCATGGATCTGAAAAGCAGGTATCACAGGAGCAACAATTGTGTGTTAGTTGGTGGTGTCAAGGGAGATAACTGTGCTTTGAGGAGTGTGACAAAGACATGATTATTCCTGTCTTCACAGTTTTGGGTTTGCCATACACTTTTTATTTATAGGAACACTTAATTTTTCACAGTTTCTCTTTTTGCTATTTCTTTTCATTGTTAAAGATCTTTTTTAGTTAAAGGTAATTCATCTTTTGTTTTATGGCTATTAGAAATTCTTAATAAAAGCTGCTTGCTGTGTTTTTTTAAGTATGCTCTCCATTTAGTATCAGCTTCAAGTTGAGGGTTAAAGAGGAAGTTGTAACATTTGCTTTTGTCAGAGTAGCTTCTCCAAGTAGTTTGAGCAGATGTTTGAAAGACCCATCAGTAGCTGTGAAGATTTTTGCATGGACTAGTAGGCCTTGCAATGTCATAACAGTAACTGACTTGCCTCTAACAGTGTGCAGAGATGAGCAAGTGTTTGCTCTTTGCTTTGTATTAAGCTTGCACTATACATATTATAGGAAAATGTGGGGAAGAGTAGAAGACTGACTTTTCAAATACCTCAAACATTTCCTACTGTTAAAAGTGTGCATTTTGCATAGATTTTTCCTTACATTTTTTGTGTAGGTAGTGGTATTGTGAAATACATGACACAATGCAGTCTTATGGCATTGAATAAAGAAAGAATATAGCTCAGCTATTAGGAGTGAGATGCCATGTTTGCTCTTTATTGCTTTGGCTCATTAAATTAAAGTCATATTTTTTCATATTTCCACTAAAATAATTTCTATCTGAATTTTCAGAAGTCTTTGATAGACTTTAATTTGCCCCTTTCTTAATTGCACTGGTACAAATTTAATGGAAGCCAAGGTGAGTCTGTATTGTTTTCTGTTTGCTAACAGTCAACTGTTTCCCAGTGAGTGTGGAGTCTAGTTAATTTAGGCCTCCTGACAACACGTTCGCTTTTCTTATTTACCTTTTGTGGATCCCTGAGATGTAATCCATGGCCCACAGGTTGAAAACTTGCAGTTTACACTGTAACCAGTTCTGCTTCTGTGGGCTGTCTCTTAAACCGGTCTGTGGCAAGGCTGTGCACAGACTATGATCAGCACGGTGAATTTGAATTGTCATTTTGCCAATTTTAACTCTTAGAAGAAAAACACCGATATAACAAAGAGCATCTAGCTTGTGGTTGATACAATACAGGACTGTTTCCCATGGGCAGGGCTTTTCAACACAGTGTGGCCTGCTAAACCAGTTCCTTCACTGCCTGATTTCCTGGACTGATTGACTTATGTCTAATATTTCACACATTTATATTATTATAGGAAAATGAAAAAGTAAAACCACATCATCTTGCCAAGTCATATTGATACACCCTGTCAGTTAATGTTGGGAAAAAAGAAGGACAATGTGACATAATATAGCTGTATGTCTTCTCTCCTTGTAAAGAAAAGAGTTAACAACATTTGTCAGATGGTGGAGCGTAGGATTTGTCTTCCTTGAGCGAATTTCACTGTGTTTTTTTCTAAGCCAATAAATATATTTGCAACGTGTAATTCTGCAGTCATCAATTTTTTCTAAATTGTAGGTAAAGAGAAGACATTGGTTCAGTCACTGAAAACATCAAGAGATGCATCACCTTCAGGCTCCACAGCAGTACCACCATCAAAGGTGAACTTTCGAGTACTTCTCACCGTGATTTTAGATTGGTCATTGTTGTTGGATTTTTTTTCTGAGTTGAAAGGAGATACTGTATGCGGCTGTTAAGGAAAGGAGCATTCTGAATTGCTCTGCAATCCAGCAAAGGATAGGTTTCCCATATCTGGCAGGAAGGTGCTGATAAAACTGTATATCTAATTATGACACTAACAAATGTTTTTATTCTGTATTCACTGTCTCATTTTAAGAGAACTGGATTTTTTTGATGTATTTTTGGATGTATTTAAAAGTGTAATTTTCTAAAGTCTGGAATGTACTAGAAAAGGAATGGCAAGGAGTAAAATGTGGAAGCAGTTTTTAGGAGCAACAGATAATTGGGCAAGCCTGTACTTGCACTGAACTTCATCCTTTAGTGATTCCTAAGCTGTGACTGGATTTGGAAACAGCGTGTTGAAGTGTCTGGCTGAGAAGATAATGTGAATAACAGAGCTGACTTGGAAGCAGGGCTGCTCGAAGATGTGGCAAGAATGATAGAATTTGCTTGGGAAGGGAGCCATATTGCAAGGTAGTTTGGTAAATGTCCTTTTATGTTCTAAATGATGCTATTTAATTTCCCATCAAATCCTGTGGGCAGAACACCAACTACATAATCTGGCTAATTAGTTAAATGGACAGGCTAATAAACACTAATGAACATTCAACATTCAATATTGTTCAGGCTGTCCTGTGGCAGCAAAAACATTTTCACATCACAGACTGCTTGCCTGTAAATTATATTTGAGGTTAAAATGAACACTTCCACAGGAGTATTTTCTCCAGCTTCTTGAGAAATACATTGTTTCTTTATTTCTCATTAAAGTATTATATTATTCTAAGTGAATAAGGTCCTATTAAATAGTAACATTTGCCTTAAGTAGCATAGTGTATTAGCCTCCTTCTTGAGGTCTCCTTAAGAAAAGCAGTGGAATGCTAAAACAAAACAAAAAAAAAAAAAAAGAAGAAAGGCACTTTTTGTTGTGAAAAGGTGAGACTGAAAGAAATAATTAAGTGGAGAAAAAAAATCAGGCTTTGTGCTATGTCATTCTAAGTACTTATCCCTTATGCAGCTCTTTTAAAACTGCTGTGCTAGGCATTAGCTAATTGCCAATGTCCTGAAGGGGGGGTGGCAAGTGATACATTTTCAGTGGTGTAAATAAGGAAGGTAAGATAAAAGCTGTTTCACTCAAGTTACACTGATTTGGATTATAAAATAAACTTTATAATTAGTTCACCTATTTTGCTTACAGGCTCAACATACTGCAGTTTAATACCAAATCCTTGCTTAATACAAACCTTTGAGAATAAGGAGGCATTGCAAAATCTCTTGCTCTTGTATTAATAAGCAGTGTGTGAACTATATCCTATCCTTTAAATGTTTCACTTTCTAATTTGGCCAGGTCTGATTTATGCTGTATTAAATTTTGTTTGTTGTTTTTTTCCCAGCAGTTTGGATATATCTGCTGACAGTAAATATCCACTCTATGTAAGCTACACAAAATTAAACTTTCTGTCTATTGGAAATAATTTCCTCAGACAGCACAAATATTTATTGGGCATGTATCAGCTGCAGAAAGGGAAGTACTTCAGTGACCTTTTATTGCATTTCTCTTGAAGTCCCCAAATCTGCTTGTAATGCCCTGTCCTGTGTCAGTGGAGCCCCTTGGGATGATGGCTGCATTACGGTGACCAGTTAAGTTATAGAAGTGCTTCATTGTCATAGAAATAATAACAGAAAAAGTCTTGGCAAAACATGATGAACATCTCTAGGGCCAGGGTCTTGAAATCTAGTTAAGCTTGAGCAGCCTGGTCTGGTGGAAGGTAGCCCTGCCCATGGCAGGGGGGATGGAATTAGATATAAGGTCCTTAACAGCCCAAACCATTCTTTGATTCCATGAAATGACTTATATATTTCATCCATTAAAAGAGATAATTTTCAGTGCTCAGTTAGAATTTAGCTTTGAAATATGTACAAAGGTATATGCTTCTGCAGCAATGTCTCTTTTCACTGCAGTAACTATATGCAAATCTGAAAAGGTATTCTTATCTGTCTTATAATTAGTTTTTTACATATTCATGCATTTGAATTAATACATGTTGGTGCTATCTGATCTTAACCACCTGTTTAATGGGCTATGGCATTGAAACCTTTTGTGTTTTTCTTTAATAGCTGTCTGGACTGCAAGCCTTGAAGGCTGGATCTAACATAATTAGAGCAAAGACTAGATGGGTGAGACAGGGAAAATTTCCAGCAAAGATAGCAGAAATCTGACAGGTTTTTGCTGTTCTTATGTTATGCATAGGTTAAAAAACAAACAAACAAACAAAAAACCCAACAAACAAAAAAAAAGCCAACCAAAAAAAAACACCTGTTTTGAGGCAGAAAGGGGGAAAGCTTGATTGTTTTATAAGGGATGTACTAGGTTTTTCATTTTTTGCAAGTTTGCAGCCTGGGTAGCTGTAGACATTTTCTTCTAAGAGATAGGTTCCTGTTCTTTCTTCAGTTGTAGTCTACCTGTGGAAATACCATTATTTATTACAAAATTCACTCAGGATTTTTTTTTAATATATATTACTGACACACGGTTTATAGAATTAAATTCAGTGAGATTAAATTAAACAGATCTTTTGCTGTATTCTGGTTAGTTCCTGTTTACAGCTTCTGGAAATATTGTAGATTCTGTGAGATTTTGTTTTATCTTCATTTCATGCAAAGCTGACTGTCAACTGGTCTCTTTTTGTTGTTATTGGCCAGAGCTACATCTGAGAGAAGGGAGAGATTCATATTTGAACCACAATACAAACTTTTAGCAACTAGCGAGAAGTCCAGTTAAAGGTAAAAGTCAGGCATACTGTGGGGAATAAGAACTTTGGAGAAAAAAATCTTGTCAGCAGATAGTTTATTAGTGATACTAGTGTAAGAATAATTGTATAGTTCGGAAAGATGAGCTGGGCTAATTATTCTATGAATTATCTTACCCTTTTCTTTTAAGAACCCTCTTTATACCCCTGCATATAGAACTTCTTCACCTCCGGACATTGCTGGTTATAATTCTGTAATTTACAGTTACAGAAAAGAGGGATTCCTTTTGGAACATTTTGTTGCACTTCTCTTCTGGATTCAGAGAAAGGTGGTGTTTTTATGAAACAGAATCCTGGATGGGTTCTGTGAACTGGATACTTATATTTGGATAATATTTTACTTCAGGTAAATACAAAAGTTCTAAAGATGAAGTAGTCTTATTACAGTAACAGAATTTGCTTCTGCTGGCCATTAATGTAATTTAGAATGGACAGACAATAAGAGAGGGGAGTCTTGGTTTTGTTTTATTTTTGTTGCTTTTTGTTACCTCCTGTTTGCTAAGATGGAACAGGCATTAGGCAGAAATTGTGACAGCCTTTTAAAGGCAGTAGAATTTGTGTTTCTTTTTTAGATATCCACCTTAGTGTTGCAGTTTTTAATACAAGAATTGTATAGATTCTTGGATTGATGCTTTTATACATACAGTTGATGCAAGTGAAATACCCACACCATGGTAACAGGATTTGTAAAGCTAGCTGTCCCTACACTGGTTTTGGTACGTGGGTATTTGTCACTGTTGGTTGTTCTGTTAGTAAAAGCCGCATCATTCTTAGAGAGAAAACAATTTAAAAATATTATTTATGTGAGTGCTTCCATCTGAAACAGTAGATTGAAAGGCCATAAAGCTATGACTGACTGTTATAAATGAGCAACCTTCCCCCCAGGTAAGAAGTAATGAATTTCAATGGAAGGAAGCCTGATCATTTGAAGTATGTATGAAATGCTTTTTATTCCTAATTAGGTTAGGTTTTGTACTCTACAGAGTATGTAATAGTTTAGTTTAATTACACCCTTTTATGTCTGGAAAATACACTGAATTATCAGGTCACTCCACATTTTCTTTCTGACTTCTTAGTACCCATTTAATCTATGCCTCTTTAAACTCAACTGCTTCAAATAGTTTTTCTATTTTCTTTGTCCCGTGAATTTAATAAAACTGATTCTAAAAAGTATGGTGCTTTTTTAAACATTTTTACCAAACTTCATTAATTTCTGTTTTTCCCCTCTCTCATTTTTTCTTTGCTCTCTCCCCACCCATTTTTCTTTTTAAACAAAACGTTCATAAAATAAAGTTGCTTCAGCTTCCTTCTTTCCTTTTTAAAAATGTTTTGGGGACCTGAATAACTGTTTTGAAGATATTTTGCTACATTTTGTGTTAAACCTTGACTGTAATGTTTTTGTACAGGCCTTCGATAAGAGCAACAGACTATCAGAAAAGGAACTTGCAGAAGCTGCAAGCAAGTGGGCAGCTGAAAGGGCAGCGATGGCCGATGAAAGCAATATTCCTGAAATAACAGAGTATGATGTAAGACAGGATTATTAATCAATTTGTTTTAAAGTGTTTACAACAGTAGACTCTTGTTTTTCTGTGCTCTCCTGAAAGGCACATTTTGTAACTTACCTCTGAATTTGTCTGTGTATATTGTTAAATATTTATTGAAAGGGAGTGAGAGGGGGAGACTAAAGCCTTGTGATTTATTTTTATTTTAAAAATACACAAAACCAGAGTAGATTTTGTTAGTATAATTTGAATTAATGTTGAGCTACAACAGACCAAATAAGGCTCCAACTGTCCCAGGGATTCTGCGAGGAACTCTTGCAGTAGTGTAAGGGTGTACCTAATGAACTCCTTAAAATTAGCAAGGGACTTCTGAGTGCACATAAGACTAGAAGAGACATTCTGGTTTATTTAGTTCAGTTCCATGCCACCTCATATATTGTTTTCCAGAAGGCTGTCCTCCTCTATATTAAAAATTAAGCTTTTCCCTTGGTACTGCAGTGGGCAAGTATATTTTCTCCCAGAACCTTTAGAATCATAGAATCCTTGAGGTTGCAAGAGACCGTTAAGATCATCAAGTCCAACCATTAAGCCAACACTACTAAGTCCTCTGCTAAAACAGAATCAGAACCTGTCAGTGCTGGAAGGGGCCACAAGGATCACCCAGTTCCAACCCCTCTGCCATGAGCAGGGACACCTCCCACTAGACCAGGCTGTCTAGAGCCTCATCCAGCCTGGCCTTAAAGACCCCCAGGGATGGGGCGTCAGCCACCTCCCTGGGCAACCCCTTCCAGGGTCTCACCACTCTCATGGTGAAGAACTTCTTTCTCACATCCAGTCTGAATCTACCCCTTTCCAGTTTTACTCCATTCCACCTAGTCGTGTCATTACCCGACATCCTAAAAGATCCCTCCCCAGCTTTCTTGTAGGCCCCCGTAAGATACTGGAATGCCACAGTAAGGTCACCTCGGAGCCTTCTCTTCTCCAGACTGAACAGCCCCAACTCTCTCAGTCTGTCCTCATAGGAGAGCTGCTCCAGCCCTCGGATCATTCTCGTGGCCCTTCTCTGGACACGCTCCAGCAGGTCCACATCCCTTTTGTAATGGGGGCTCCAGAACTGGATGCCGTACTCCAGGTGGGGTCTCACCAGGGCAGAGTAGAGGGGGAGAATCACCTCTCTCGACCTGCTGGCCACACTTCTCTTGCTGCAGCCCAGGATCTGGTTGGCTTTCTGAGCTGCAAGTGCACACTGCTGGCTCATGTTGAGCTTCTCATCCACCAGCACCCCCAAGTCCCTCTCCTCAGGGCTGCTCTCCAGCCAGTCCCTGCCCAGCCTGTATTGGTGCCTGGGATTGCCTCGACCCAGATGCAGGACCTTGCACTTGGCCTTGTTGAAAATGAATTTACTTCATTAATAATTAACATTCATTATAGCCAGTTTTCACCCATCTGTACTTGCTCTTCCTTGTCTTCTACACCTTGCTGTGTTGAAGAGTGATTATAGCCCTTTTCATGCTGCACTTTGATAGGATGTTTTTTGGATTCTGCTATGTTAGTGGAAGATCTATTTTGTCATTTGAAACAAGCTAAATGTCATGTAGTGTTTGTTTTGTAAAATAGTCTGTTATAACTCTGTGACAGTTTTATCTTCAACTTTATAAGCACTCTTACAAAAACAAAATAGTGGACCTACTTCACAATGTCTTAGACTTTGTGATTAATGGGTTTGTATTTTATATTTGTAAATAATTTGAAGGAAGCTAAAAGCATCTTGGCAAACATCAGATTTTCTCCTTGTATTTCACACTTCTGGAACCTAAGGACTAGATTAGAGGAATAAACTCACTGGCTCCATATCTGTTTGAACGTTTGAGTCCTGTTCATTGATGTAATGCCTCAGTGCATCAACAGCTTCTTGATTTAGGAGAGGAAGATCCAATTGGATAAATAAGTTGTTCATTCCACTCCATGAAAAAGAAACTTAAAAAAGAAAAAAAAGGGGTTGTAGTGAGGAAGAAGAGGCAACAAACTGATCCATGCATGAATGCCATACAGAGGAGAACATGCATGGACATTTCTCAGATGTTCAGGAGAGTCACAGTGAAGAGAGATGTCACTCCTGTTCTTTATGAGGGGAAGGTAAATAAAGGGAAGAAAGAACAGACTGAGCCATATGGAGGAGAGTTGTATATAGCTTCCTCTGTGCCTTGGAGAAAATTGCAGTGGCAAAAAGATTGAGAATAGAGAAAGATTCAAAATGAAACCGCTGTGGTTGATTATAGCAGAATCTGAGATCATTTATTGACTATGAAAGTGTGCTACAGGAATGCTGACAAAGGAGGTGAGACATCTCATCTGAGTACTAGAGGAGAGTGGGTACTTCTTACCTGGATTGGTAGGCTGTCGTGTAAGAATTGCAACTTTTTTATTTTGTCCCGGTTATCGTACCTAGTGCCTAACAGTCGAACTTTGTTTTAGCAGCCTTTACTCTCTCTCGGGCATTTCATGATTTACAGCAGTAATAAGATTTGAGATAGCAGCAACAGAAACCATTAAGATTCTAAGTTTTGAGCAGATGCTCATAGGACAATTAAGATTTTTTTTTTCAGTCTAACGCTTTTTCTCTTTCATGTTAGCTAATTCTTAAGATTATCTACCTCTTTATTTTTGAGTAGTAGAAAAACCATTTTTATGTATCTTCTTCAGTTCTCAAATCTCATTAAAAAAGAAAAAGGCACTACTCTACAAATCTGTTCCATAGTATTTGATTTAAACATGCTGTAGTAATTTCGTTTCTTTTTGAGTCTTCTATATAAACTCATCAAAATGGGAATCTTTTTCTCTGGGGCAGGGATGCTGCCTTAATTTCTGGTTTAGATGGAAGTTTATACATTTTTAGTACTTCAGTAGATTTCTTATATTATCAGAAATTCTTGAAGCGCATTTTTGCTTTTGCTATAGAGCAGCTATCTATGTTCCTTTAATATTAAACCTGTGGTCTTGACTGCTGCAAGAGTTCTTGCTGACAGCATTTGGATTTTGTTGATGCCTGTTTACCTTTGTTTTGTTACTTTTATCCTTTCCCAGAAAATTAATCCCACTGTTATTGTATATTTTCCTTGCCAGTGGGTGTTATAAATACCACATGTACAAGTTCTTTCTCAGAAGAAGGGCAAATGAAGTTTATTTGACGTCATTGTCTTTACACAGTTAAGACTGAGTCACAGGTTTTTTATGTTATGTTTTCTACATGTTTAAAATCTGCATTTCTGCATCTGTTAGGTTGTAGCAATAATACTTTGCTGACAGTCTTGATAAGCTAGATCATCTCTGACTGGATGACTGTATTTGGGATTTTATTTTTGCTCTCACACTTCAGGGTTTTTATTTTGCTCACAAAACTGAATTTTGTTTCATTTTTTAAGGCTGGATCTTCAGCTCCATTATATGTTGAACAAACAGAGGAAGCAGACACGAATGTAACAGATAGTACAGAATTATATGAGGATGGCCATCTTCTTGGTCGCTCAAAAGCAATTGCAACTAAGACAAAGGAGATTGAACAGGTGAGTCTTCTTGGTGTTTTGTCACTGATAAAGTACCTGTGTAATACTCTGATCTGCTAGAAATATGTTGATTTATTTTTTCCTTCTTGGAGTCTCAGACAAATATAACCTGATTTCTGGAGAAAATGAGATGATAACAGCTCCATCTATTTAATTTGGAAGAAACGTGACATTTATCTGCACGTGGGAGTTAGTCCTGGTTTTCTCTACACCTGCTTACTTCCTTACACCTACTTACTAAACACCCGCTGTTTTGCAAGCCAAGAGAAGGACCGTTCCTTTGAGTAGTTGTTTTAAAGTCAACTATAACACAATTTCAAATGTAATTAAAAAGTAAGGCTTTATGTGGGATCAAATTATCAAAAATTGCTTCTACGCTGTAATTTCCTTAAATATATGAAGTTTGGGATTGAACAGTAGAAACTGCCCCTGTTTGTGTTTGTTTTTTTTTTTTTTGAGGGGTGGTCATGGTGTTGTTTTTTTTAGGTTTTATTGTTTGAGTTTTGTTTCTAAGTCAGCTTTGATTCTCAGTGTCTTTGTCATTCTCTGAAGATTAAGAACCTTTAAGTTTTGCTTTGACTACAGTGTTTTCTATCAAGATGAGAGAAGGATATCATATTCAAAATTTGTACTTTCTCTTTTGTGTTGAGTACTTGGGGGTTCACATAATACAAAACAAGATTACTCCTGCAACATTGAATTTTTGAGGAGGTTCATTCATGTTTATTCATGTATTAGTCTATAGTCTTTAATTAGTTTTAGCATGGCACTTCACAATAAGGAAATTACGATAATCTTCAGATTCATTTGTCATGATCAATCAAAGTGTTTTCTTCTGTATTTTTGTTATTTTAAATGGAGTGTTTGGAAATATTTCTGACTTGGTCTTTCTAATGTAAATGCAGCTATGCCCAATTATAGAAATTGCATTTAAAGTATATAATTTGTGTAGGAGAAAGTGATTACTTTCATTAATCTTGCTCTAATTTGCAAGGTTTTCAGTGTGTGTCTGGGATGTGTGGAAGGGAAGTACAGATCACTTGTGCCCCTCATGAATGTCTTATAATAACATCTTCAAGAAAATAAGTCTCTGGTCCTGTTCAAGATAACCTTGTTGTAGGTCTTCATTTTCCATCTTAATTCTAGTGTCCTTTGTTCTGTTGCCTGTGAGCCCATTTCCTGTGCTGTAATACTGTTATTCCTTTTTTTCTTGACACTTGAAAAACAACTTTCTACTCAGCTGTTTTTGTTTCTTTCTTTTTTTTATTAATATTGGCCTTGTGTAATCATGTTTGTGGTGAACCTGGCTGTGCATGTGTTGGAGCATGCTGTAACTGTGAGGGACTTGATGCAGTTTGCTTCTCCCGGTGTGCCTGATCACCAGGTCGTACGTGCCCTAAATCAGCTACCAGCAAATGCATGAATTTACAACTGTTAAAAAATTACAAATGGGGAAAAAAAAGACTGGGAGCAGACTTTTTTAAAAAACAGCTTTTGTGATTATTTAGCCTGATGCTGGTGAATCTCTGGTGTATTTCCCCTAGGTCCTAAGGACAAGCTTACAGTGAAAACAGATGAAAATTTGTGCATAAAAATGAAATGTTGTTTTCAATATGAACTAATGTTACTACATTTGCTAGAGTTTGCACTTATCTCTAAGGAAATCTAGATTATGTTCTGTAAAACAGAGTACTTTTAGGGACTTAGCTCAGAAAGGCCTGAGGAATAACTTAAAAAGATTTGGATTTCATAGAACCAGTTTCTCCTGTTGATTTGAATATTAAAGTCGTCAGCTTCCACAGAATTAAATTAAGATTTTAGAATGATACTGGAAGAATACATTTTACTCAACTGAACAGATTACATGTTTTTTTTGTTTGTTTTTTTTTTTATAAAATCAGGTGCTGTGAATTTGTTGAGAGCTAGACAATATACATCATTTAAACTTAAGACTGTAAAATGACTGATTTTTTCAGAGAAATGTTGAAGTAGAAATTCTGGATTTTTTTAAAAATTGTTTAAAAGTAAAGTTTGTTATAGTAGTCCTGATGATTTTCATAGTTGTGAAATAGTATGAGTCTTCCTACTGTATACAGAAACCGTCTCTGTAGAAACTTATGCACCGTTCCATTGACTTTGAGTTGTCAGAATCTAAAAGAAAATACGTTGTAGTTCTGTGTGGCTTGAGTTCTCTGCCTTTGATAAGGAATGAGACAAAGAGCAAAGAGTGGAGTGGAAACTAAGTTTGCAGTCCTGTGGTGAACTGCTTACTAAAGATTCTTTGGATTAATTGCTCAGTATAATTTATACTGGTTTTAATACTGTTTAACTGGAAGTACGTTTCTGGTTTTTGCACAGCAAAATTAGTCCTTAACATGCAAATTTAATAACATTGCTAGTCATGCTGTATTGTTTATATAGATGTAACATTTAAATCTTAGAAGTGAATTGTAGGCAATAATACACTTTTGGAATAGAAAGACTGACTTGGTTATAAAATATGGAATAAATTTATAAGAAAACTTTTTCATGATTTTTGATTATTTGTCTTGAAGACTCGTATAATAGCCCTGAGCAGGGCCAGCTTGTGATATTTATTTCTCTTAAGAAAAAAAAAATTTGTTAAGCAATTGAATGAAATATTCAAACAGGTGTTCTGTTTAAATCAGTTCATCTCTCTATCTTAGGTATCATTCATGTCACTCTTTTGTGAAGTTACCTTTATCCTTCCTCTAAGTTATAGTAACACAATTGCCCAATTCAGAATTTTAAATGGAATGTGATTGTAAATGGTAGTTCTGGCTCACCAACAAAATATTTGTATATTACTTGTTTGATGGGGAACTTAACTGCAAGTGGTTTTGTAAATTCATGTAATCTCAAGAAAAATAAATTTGCTTGTGCGCTGACTATTACAGGACAAATAATATTGAACCTGTGCTAGTTGCTGTTAACTATTTAGTGACTGTTTTTTGAGAGTCTGCAGTCGCTTTGCAGATATTAACTGAAGCTGAAATAAAGAGAGGAGAATAGGTGTTATGCTCATGGATAAAAGGTTGGAAAAATCTGGACATGTGAACAGAGCCAAGAATTATCTGTGGGAGTCCCAACCTAGAAAAACTGCAAAGCATGTGCTTAATTTGAAGTCTGACACTATTACTTGGGAAGGGAGAACATGACTGAAGATGTACAGTTGCCTGAGAACACTGGTGAACTGGGACTGCAGATCCTGGAAGTCTCTGGTCTCATCTTTGAAATGCCAGGCATAGTGACAGTATCACGGAAACATCCATGTTGGATGGGACTTCACCTGGGCCAATCTCTTGAAATGGGGCCTTAGATCAGGTCATTCAGCTCTCAGTTGAGTCCTGATTATGTCCAGTGAGGGAAACTGTGCTGTTTCTCTGGACAGCCTATTTCAATGTTTCAGTGCTCTCCCTCTGAGCTTAGCTGCCATCACAGTCCTGCACGCTGTTCTCCAGGACATGCCTTCTTTCCACTAAGGACAAGGGTTCTGCTCCCTACTCCTCTTGGCAGTTTCCTGTCCCCATCTGTGAACTGTGGAGTCCCAGCTCCTTGCTGTGGTCTCCTGCTTTTGGCTGGTCTCACCTTCCTGTCGGGACCTGCTGCACCTGGAGTGAGCTCAGCTGCCAGAAGGGAATGCTTGAGTTCTTGGGACCCTCTGGCTCTGCCACTTTGTGGCTGGTAGAACTGGATCTTTTCCCTGTAAGGGAAAACTGCTCCCTTCCATCTTGGCGCATCTTCTTTTCCATCTTTGTGCCTCTTTGCACTGAACGAAAATTCTGCAACATTAATGTGTCTCTCATGTTTTAATATATCCCATGAAGCAGGGTCTAGATTCGTGATTTAGCTTTTGATGTTTGTAAGCATCCAGAAACTTTGAGGAGTTTTTAAGAACAGAAATAGTGATGTAAATTACCTTTCTGGGTGGGTTGGTTGGTTGTTTTTTTAAGATAGATGTTTCCTTACGCTTTTGAAAACACCTTTCCCTCTTTCTTTCAAAATTATAATTTTGAATCTGGAGTTATATGTTGTCTGAGCATAGTGAGGAAGAAGCCCATTTAATAGATGCTTAAAAGATCAGTCAAAACCTACTTGAAAAGAGTGTAGTAGAGAATTTTGCATTGGCATATCAATGCATATCAATAGGTTGCTGATGTGATAACTTCATGCACTTTTAAATATTTTTGCATTTAATAGCATGCAGCATATACCAAAGTATTGGTTTGGAGCTGTTTAGTTTCTGTTTTTATATAGTTAAGGATCAGCTTATGCTTTTAGCACAAAATGTGCTGAAGTGTGTTTTTATTTTTCTGGAAGTGATGACAAATATGTCCCTGGTGTTAAATTCATAATTGGAGCGATTCAGTGTTGGTGTTACACAAAAGGCTATCTCTTTGTTTTTCCTTTATGAGCATGAGTAGCAGGGATTCTTGAAATGTCTTATCTTGTCTAGACATCAAGTCTGCAACATGCTGTTAATTAGTCCATTATTATGTGTCCAGTTTCTTAAATATTGGATATGCTACTTGAAGTGACATGGGTTACCTCCAAAAATCTATTAAATTTTACCAAGTGAGCCAAGTACTTGCTTGATGTTGGCAAAAAATCAATTCTCTTAGTTTCTGAATGAGATTTGACACTCAGACCTCAATTTATCTATTACCACAGAGCTCTGGCATCTAAGAAGGAAGCACAGGAATGAATACATTCATGAATGCTTTTTTTTTCTTAATGGAATTACTGACTGAATGCTTTCAGTTCCGTAATATGTTTAAGCGTTCAGTAGAATAATTTAAAATGTTCAAACATTTGGATTAGTTGCTTGTTGACTTGACTTTCTAAATTAATATTACTTGTTAACAGCCCTCAGTAGTATTAATGAACTGTTACTCTAATTAGCCATCTTGCTGGAAGATGCTGGAAATCAAAGTTTTCTAAAGCTTGCATGTGATACTTCAGAGATATGGTGCATAGAA